ATAAATATAATTTCATTTTACAGTGGAAACACTATGATAATCTTTAAGAATAATATGTAGCACTAGCTTAATTAATCTTTATTACTAGACACGAATTTTATGAATTAATGTTGTCCACTAACAAATACACGGTAAAATATGTGCACAAATGTGAATTAAAAAAAAATGGCATCCCCAGTCTCCGACTACCTGTACTGCCAATGGTACATGGACTTATGACTTACAATACTGGATGAATTAAGTTGATGATACGTGTTACTGTTACATCACCAACTGGGGGCGGTGGGGTAGCCTTGTGGCTAAAGTGTTGGCTCGTCACGCCGAAGACCAGGGTTCGAATCCCCACATGGGTACATTGTGTGACGCCCATTTCTAGTGTTTCCACCGCCGTGATGTTGCTGGAACATTGCTAAAAGCGGCGTAAAACCAAACTCAGTCAGTCAGTACATCACCAACTGCTGATGTGGAGATTGTTTCTGCTGTCATTGCAGTTTAATGTCCGTATTAACAGGGTTTTACTTTTCATGCTTATCATTCATGTCACCCCCAACATATGCACACATGGCACACCTTCGTACACCAGTAGAGCTGTATGTCCGTATTAACAGGGTTTTACTTTTAATTCTTATCATTCATGTCACCCCCAACATATGCACACATGGCACATGTTCATACACCAGTACAGCTGTGTGTCCGTATTAACAGGGTTTTACTTTTCATGCTTATCATTCATGTATCCCCAACATATGCACACATGGCACACGTTCATACACCAGTACAGCTGTGTGTCCGTATTAACAGGGTTTTTCTTTTCATGCTTATCATTCATGTATCCCCCCACATATGCAAACATGGCACACCTTCGTACACCAGTACAGTTGTATGTCCGTATTAACAGGGTTTTACTTTTCATGCTTATCATTCATGTAACCCGCAACATATGCACACATGGCACACGTTCATACACCAGTGCAGCTGTTTGTCCGTATTAACAGGGTTTTACTTTTAATTCTTATCATTCATGTAACCCCCAACATATGCACACATGGCACACGTTCATACACCAGTACAGCTGTTTGTCCGTATTAACAGGGTTTTACTTTTCATTCTTATCATTCATGTCACCCCCAACATATGCACACATGGCACATGTTCAAACACCAGTAGAGCTGTGTGTCCGTATTAACAGGGTTTTACTTTTCATGCTGATCATTCATGTAACCCCCAACATATGCACACATGGCGCACGTTCATACACCAGTACAGCTGTTTGTCCGTATTAACAGGGTTTTACTTTTCATGCTTATCATTCATGTCACCCCCAACATATGCACATATGGCACATGTTCAAACACCAGTACAGCTGTGTGTCCGTATTAACAGGGTTTTACTTTTCATGCTGATCATTCATGTAACCCCCAACATATGCACACATGGCACACGTTCGTACACCAGTACAGCTGTTTGTCCGTATTAACAGGGTTTTACTTTTCATTCTTATCATTCATGTAATCCCCAACATATGCACACATGGCACACGTTCGTACACCAGTAGAGCTGTTTGTCCGTATTAACAGGGTTTTACTTTTCATGCTTATCATTCATGTCACCCCCAACATACGCAAACATGGCACACCTTCGTACATCGATACAGCTGTGTGTCCGTATTAACAGGGTTTTACTTTTTATGCTTATCATTCATGTAACCCGCAACATATGCACACCTGGCACACGTTCATACACCAGTACAGCTATGTGTCCGTATTAACAGGGTTTTACTTTTCATGCTTATCATTCATGTCACCCCAATGGCACACGTTCATACACACATGCAAACACCCACGTGTTCCTCTATCTTCGACCAAACACGTCTGTGTTGACGCAGTCAATACATTTGTTGGCAACAAGTCTAAGGCATCGCGACATTGTCAACGTCACATATGGTGAGTCCGTCATCTCCTCAACATAATCTCAAGGCGTGAAGCAACTGAAATTGAACGAACGAACGAAAGAATGAATGAATAATAGGAAATGTGTGATTTGATATTAGCAATACACTGACTATATTGATTTGAATCTTCGCTATATATGTCCAGTATACATAGGGGATGATTAAATACCTTTTTTTGAACATTCAATGCCAAACAACAGTATACTGTGAATTGTTGTCCAGGTTTTATTGATGCTGTTATATACTGGTAAACTGCAGGCTTTTCCACGCCTGGTTAAACCAGAAATAGAGTAGTTAAACTATGTATGTTTGACTAGGTCTGACTGAACATGTAATAAATTAAAATATCCACGTTTGTCTAAGAATATACAGTTACACTGTCCATGTTTCTCGGGGAGCATGAAGCAATAAAGTAATGGTAAACTGTCCGTGTTTGTCGAGGAGAATGAATCTGTGATATACTGGTGAACTGTCCATGTTTGTCAAGCTGCATGAAGCAGCAGTGTACTGATACATCTACAGTTTCCAATAGTATACTGGTAAAGTTCTTCATGTGTGTGCAACATGTTTAGGGCAGTATGAAGAAGTAATATTATGGAAAATTAGATACTATTTTAAGACTGTCCGAGAGAAGCGGTAGTGAAAAATAGCAAGCGGATGCAAATAATTTTCTTTTTGATATGAGAGATCAATATCAAATAATTTCATATATTACACGCTCATCTTTCAAAATAGGACAGTCTGTTTGTTTGGTTCATTTCACATTATATAGTATCCAGTATATGCCTTTTCCCTCTATGGTGGCAACAGCTTTCAACACAAATCCTGATCTTCGATAAGCAACAGGGTTTCATCAGTGTCACGCCAGTGTCACATCAAGCATAGTAAAGTTGCAACACACCAGTCTTTTCACGACAGTCATTGGGAAACCACTAAGCTGTGAGGATTTTCGCTGTGTTCCCCCGTCTTCTGTCCGCCATTATTTTCCATTCCTAGGTGAATCAATAAACAGTTATCTGTACTAATTTTTCCCCGCCGATGTGAAACACTCTGCCCTTATGGGATGAAAAAAACACTCTCTTACTTTCCACAATCATAAACAAATCTGGTCAGCATGATCATTCTTCATCTTCTATTAAGAAAGATGTTTCTGAAGCAAAGCGACTTGGTCCACATCATAACATATCATAAAATAAATATACAATCAATCTCTTTGATATTTTATAGCTATATCTGATTTTTTTTCGAAACTGGTGATGAGAAACACATAAAATGATGGCCTTACAAGCTTCCAGATCACACAGGATTTGTATATAATAATAATCTTTATTTGCACTGAAAAGGCCACAGGCCTATAGTACATAAAGGTATGTTACATTTGAGAGGAATTTAGATCGGGTAATCATAGCATAGTAAATGATCATTGAAATATTTTGTAGAAGAACTGGATTTTTACTACTTAACAGTGAGGAGAATTATATCATATTTTGATGGACTTAGTAATATCTTTTAATATATTTTGTTCACAACCGGTCATAAAATGGACATATTAGGAGGAAATGTAATTCATCTTCTATTTCGTTTAAATTACAAAGTGTACATAATCTATTTTCTCTTTTTACATTCATATATCTGCCTCTTTCAATCAACAAATCACGAGAAGAACATCTGAATCGTGCCAGTGCTATTCTAAACTTTGTAACATTAACACAGGATAGATATGACTCAAGGACTATGACAATTTTAGCAATGAATAAAACATGCATTTATTTGATAAGGATATCCTTTCACACCATGTTTGGATATACATATCTTTTAGTCTTGACAACATTATATTATAACACTTCATGGGTAAGCGATTTGAAGGCATAATCAACAGTTTTAGCCAGTACTTAATAACTTTAATGCTTGTAAGAATGTGCATTGGATACCTACCGCATTCACCAGAAATCACTGCGTTGATAGTGTTCATTTTAACTCCGAGGAATTTTTCGCATGCGTATAAATGGATTTTTTCAATTTCGTCAAATTTTGTTATTCCCCATATTTCGGCCCCATTGATAAAATTGGACTGACTTTGGCATCAAATATTTTAAAGAATGAAAAGAAGTTAATATTACCAAGTACACTCAACTGTTTCATAATTCCAATTAATGCTTTTGTCCCTGTAACGCTGCATATTTTACATGCATCGTCCATGACAGGCCACTGGTGAAATATAGTCCCAAATATTTATAAAAGCCAATACACTTCAGCTTCATACCTTTATATAACCAGTTTTCCTTTTTAGACAATTTGCCTCCATTTTTGAATACAACAATTTTCGTTATTCTCTATTTACAGTTAATTTCCATTTATCGCAGTAACTTTCAAGTTCATTAATTTGATTCTGTAAGCCATTAATCGTGCTTGAGAACAGGGTTTGTATAAACTTGGTACTCTTATCATCAGATACAACTGTGTTTTATCTGACAGAATATGTAAGCAAACTTTAGTTACTACTTAAATACCCAAACAGTTCAACCTTCCCAGGAATATTGTAAATAGTAGCTATTTAAGATGGATGGATGCATATATGCATGCATGTTCAAAAACATGCAAAAAACATAAATATATACAAATACAAGTGTGTGTGTGTGTGTGTGTGTTAATGTCTAATCGTTTTACTCATTAAGGGTAATTATGATGACAATTTCACGCTATAAATTCTACTGTAGAAGACTTTTCATTGTTATTCTGAGAAAAGTCTGATATATTATAGCTGATATATACTCTGTGTCATCTATCTATATTCTGTGTCATCCACCTATCTATCTGTTAGAAATGGTATATTTATGGAAAAATAAAGTTTAAATATTTCTTGATTAAATTATTTCGTTAGAGCTTAATACAATGTCATATTTTTATTGAAATGACATGAATTAATGGGATCGAGTATTAAGAATAATTTATATTTATTCCAGCCCCTGAATTCACAACGAACTAAGTGGAACATTTGGATAGTGAACTCACATTGCGAGCCGGGAAAATCGGAAAGAGAATTTCCCGGTTTTGTCGACAGTACTGGGAATACTGAGAGGGGAAGTTACAGGGAATATCGGTCGGGGAATTACCGGGAATAACGACAATACTGGGAATGTCGCTAGGGGAAGTTGCCGAGAATATCTCCAGGGGGCGTGGCTTCTAACAATGAGCTGTGTTTTGGCGTTATGAATACTCTGAAAGGGACATTTTCTGTGAGCGACATATAATGAGTGGAACTGCATTGTTTGGTCATTTCATCACATCTTGCCTATATCGATGTTCCTGAGTCTTACTGATTATCACTATTTGGACACTCAAATTAGTTGCTACAAATATAGAGGCCTGTGCTGAATACATCGACCGCTACTATGCTGTATGTTGGCCAGATGACAACTAAATGGACAGGCTCGTCTCGAGGCCTGCCGGACTGCGAGGGTGGGAGGGGCACAGATCACTGTCGTTCGAGGTGGAGAGAGACGGCGCGTGAGCCCGTTGGGTTGGACTCGGACCCCGCAATGGTGGACGGGATGAGAGAGGAAGAGAGACGACTTATGACTTACGCAAACTGGCCATCATCGTCACAGGATCCGGCCAAATTAGCAGAAGTTGGACTATTTTACACTGGACGACTGGACCGAGTCAAGTGCGCCTTCTGTCTGGGGGTGTTGAAGGAATGGCAGCCAGGGGATATCCCGCTGGCAGAACATAGGAGACACTTCCCTTACTGCAGGTTCATCCGGGGTGAGTATGTGGGCAATATTCCAGCCAGACAATCCACCATCCATCGGATACCTGGAACGTCTGGACTTAGACCAGACACACATGATGCCTCACACTGGATCAAGGGATGTGGCACTTCTGATGTGAATGATAGGATGCACATCACTCCCTCGCGTGGCCCACCAAACTACAGACTCAGACCTTCAGATACAGAAGCGTATCACAAACGATCTTCCATAACACTGAACCATTCGACTGATAAGACTGTTGCCCAATCTGTGGACACTGCGGACGGAACTCTTGATTATACATCTGAAGCAAGTCGTCTGGCGACGTTCAAACACTGGCCTGTGGAGGCCCAGATTTCACCAGAAGTACTGGCTAGAGCAGGTTTCTATCACGCCCCCACTCCGGGTAAACCTGACCGGGTGAGGTGTGGGTACTGCCAGGGTAAGCTGTATGCATGGAGCGGGGAAGAGGATCCGGAAATGGAGCACAAGAAGTGCTTTCCTACCTGTCCGTTTGCGGGGATGGCTGGAGGAGAGGCGAGGAGGACAAACCATTCTTTGACATCATCAAGTATTTCAAGGTAAGGCGTACATGGTACAGTCAATGTGATAAATGATTAAAACTTTTAGGTAGTTTTTAAATTGAAGGATTAACTAATCAATTTACAAATTGTCCAAATATTGCAATAATTTACCTCTGATTGAAAAATCTCTCCATATTTTTGACAGACTGATTGAAAATATTGACGAATTCCAAGCATTTTCACAATGAATTTCGTCACGTTGTCATAAAATTATTAATGGATTAAACTAAAATGCGTATATAGGTATGTAACTGTATGCCTTTATTTATCGTTATAACTGTATGTCTTTATAACTTTATTCATCTTTATAACTGTATATATCTATATAACTTTGGTTAAAACACGTAAACAACAAAACAAAGTCAGAATTGTTGAATGTCTTATTTGTTTTCTTGATTTCTTCTGTTATTGTATATGCGTAACCTTAAGTGACCCAGTGATGTAGAAGTTTTATCAATCTTGACCAACATACCAACACTTCTTTGAAATATATCTACGTGTACAGTCATGTTGAAAGTTACATGTTCTCTAAAACCACGTACAAGCAACATTCAAGGTTTTAAACACAAATGAATGTTTTTTTCTCAGAATTATGAATAGCACTTTTCTAATCATTGACAACCTTGGCACTTTACAACAACCCGGATAATTGATCAGCATTCTTGGAACATGTCCATTATCTTTCCAGCGGGTTATCAATCTGCACCTTTTAGGGAACAATGAGCGCCATCAAACCTAATCTTGTTCCTGTTTCAGTTTCTGTGAAGGTAACAGAGCCACGTCAGTTCCAGGAAGACTTCACCTTCCTTCCAAGAACGCGCTGTCAACAGCGTCAGGTGACATGGCAACAACCAATAAAGCTGAGTTTTGTGAACGCATGCGCGGCGAGGAAGGCGTTTTGCCCAAACAGAACATGAAAGACATAGGAGAGTTGATGTTGAGCGACACTGTGGCACGAGTCGTGGAGATGGGGTTTGCCAGGGAGACAATAGAGAAGGTTGTTAAGAGCAAGAGCAGCAGTAGTGAGCTGTCTACGGTTCAGGGGCTTGTGGAGGCTGTGCTGAACTACGATGTGTAGAGGATTTCTTTAAACCGTGAGCTGGGGATCCTATTATCTTTAATTGTATTGGCATCTGTGTTACACGTTATGTGCGTGTTTATACATCAGTATATTCAAGTCTACAAGAGAATAACCCAGGAACAAGAAATTGTTATCAAATATTATCTCTTAGCATAGGCGGATCCAGAGTAGGGTTGGGGTGAAAATAAACAGTGCACCCACCCCCATCCTCCTTTCTCAAAAAGCTGTATCCACCCCTGGTTTGGTCAAGTTACATCTAGTGGTGTACTAAGAGAAAGACTGAAAGGTCTGAACTCGAAAACCCAAATAGTTTTATCGACTTATTGCAGTCAGATCCAAGTGGGCGACAAACAAAGGCTAGTTCATAACAAATATTATACCTGGCTTGAGTGAGTGAGTGAGTGAGTGAGTTAGTGAGATATTATTTAGCGTCACATCGGCACTATTTCAGCCATATCGTGACGAGAACAATCTAGTTTATATCAATATGAAAGTCAATAAGGTTAGAACATAAATACCTGTCATCGAAGGACAGTAAATATACTAGAACATCACAGCTATATAAATTTAAAACTAGTACGCTAACGTAATATTAAATCACTATAGACAGTACAAAATAAAAACGGGCTATATAGATCACCAACAACTGAAGGCAGATCACCATACCAGGGACCATGGGGACTTACAGTACCTTTGCTACCTGGATTTACACCATCCCTTCAGCCATTGGTGATTGAAGACAAATCTAGCCATAAATTAAAAGTACACATATTCTACGATTAAAAAAGTGGCAAATTTAAATTTAATTTAAATGTGTTGGGACTTACGTATACCTGGCTTGAAGTTACAAAGGCAACATTGATGTACTGTACTTGGATAACATGATTTTCTGTACACAAGAATGAGGGGGTGACTTACGTTTTACGGCGGTTGTAACACGTTATCAGTTGCACCTAGCACAGTGTAAATGGGTGTGGTTCCTGGGTGTTCACAACTTTCGTTAAAACTGCCAGCACGGGTACGCGCTTACAAGAAAATCCAGCAAATTCTGGGATTTGATCCCAGGATAATCCCAGGCAAAAGTAGTACATCCACAATGCTAATAGTATATTATTGTGTAAGCTGGGTGGTGTCTGTGGTTCGTGATTAGTTCACTGCTATTTGGGGTCGGGAACTGGACCCCTCACAAACTATATTTGTAACCGGCAAATAACCGGCAGCAATGACGGTAAAACATTCATAGTGTCTACCCGTGAGCGTAAAGACAGATTAGAAATATCAAGTGAATGTTTTATCACTGAATGTGAATAGATATTCACGTCTACTTTTACGTATTTTGTAGAAGACATGATCATGTAACTTGGACCTGTACCGGAATGAACATAAAATATATGTTTTGGTTTGTTGTTATTTAGCTGGAGGCATTTATGTCGCATGTAGATGTATGTGAGAGACTGAGTTGGATTTTACGCCGCTTTTAGCAATATTTCAGCAATATGACGGCGGGGTTACACCAGAAATGAGCTCCACACATTGTACCCATGTGGGTAGCCTGGGTTTGTGGCATCACAAACGCTTTAACCATTAGGCTACCCCACCTGTGGTGGACATGCATGGTGATGAGGGTGTCCAGCGATTGTGTCGAGGCATTGAAATATGGCGGAGTGGAGCGTTTAACAAACAAACAAACAAACGAGGCCTTGATTAGCAGGTATGGGGCGCAGCGGAAGGTGACGTAAAATTGGGTTTTACGTCATTAGCTTGAGGAATATTTCTGCCTATATGACGACGTGCATGCGTGTGTATGTGTATGTGCGGCGGCTTGTACTAGCCCAGACTGAAGCTGGTTTTATAGTCGTAGCGCTAGCCCACTGAGATACCATGCCGCAGTGAAGCATGAATACCCCACTCAGACACATTATACTGACTCCGAGCCGACCAGTCCTTGTTGTACCCATTAATGCCGAGCGCCAGGCAGGGACCAACAAGTACCATATTTTTAACGTCTTTTAGTATGACACGGTCGGGGATCGAACCAACGACCTTCCGCTCTCCGGGCGGACGCTCTAACCACTACACCACGGAGGCGGTCCGCAGCTGAAGTCTCTATTTACAAGAATTGTACGATGTATACCGCCCTATATATCCGACATTTTTAACAAGTTCGGACAGGCTATTGTTTGTACACCATCGATTCAGTTAGCCTAAATAGGACTCAGTGGCAGTACACATCCTAACAAACAACTACATGTAAGAGTTGATCAACAATCCAGTTGCGATTCAAACTGGAGCTGGTTGATTTCTTATCTGGTCTAGACGGGTGCTTGTACTATCAACGACTGTATTTTTGTGTCGAGACTCAAATAGATATGGGATGTTGTAAACTAGTTGGACTACAGCGGACTTCCAAGTAAACAGTCACACCTGGTTAGGGCATAATACCCCTTGTCAACAAACATTCAGCATGTTCGTTGAAGGTACTTGCAACACCTACATATAGTCACTACAACACCACTGTCAAAAGCATCTCAACTTTCCACATCAACACTTCCAGCAATACTTAAGCACTTCATAGTAATGGAACAAGATGACTGTATTACCAATGTTTATTGTAATAGCAAGACATATTATTTCAGAAGGATTTTTATTATGTAAATTCATGACTGTTATAGCTTTAGCTCCATTTTATACAATAGTGTCACAGCAGATCGTGTTGTCATGTACTTATCATTGACATATCAGACTCGTACATCAACTGTTGTACTTCAAAAGCTCTAGCCAGCAAGAGGGGCGGTGGGGTAGCCTAGTGGTTAAAGCGTTGGCTCGTCACGCCGAAGACCCGGGTTCGAATCCCCACATGGGTACAATGTGTGAAGCCCATTTCTGGTGTCCCCCCAGTAATGTTGCTGGAATATTGCTAAAAGCGGTGTAAAACCAAACTCAGTCAGTCAGTCTAGCCAGCAAGAAAGGCTTTTGCTGCAGGCCATGACCTGTGCCAGGTCTGAGTATACTGCCAGCCTGGGAAGAGGTATTGTACAATGTGTGTATAAACCCATGGAGTGAGTGAGGGAGTGAGTTAAGGTTTAGTGTCACATCGGCAATACTGTAGCCATATCGTGACTATAACAATACATACTTTAATAATAAATAAAAGTTATTTCGTAAAATCTGTCAACAAAGGACAGTAAAACTACATTATCACAGATAGAAAGTTAAAACTATCATGTAAGCATTAAAATATTTATTACAATACAGGACAATGCAATATAAAAACCAGGCTATAGGTCACCAACAACTGAAGGTAGATCACCATACTATGGACCATGGGATAAACCCATGCAGGTGCATGAAGCCTACTGCTTGGTTCAGTCTCTCTGCTGATGGGTATACATCGTGCAGAATACATCTGGAAGAACCATCACATTGCTCACCCTTCCATGTCAAACATGTGCGTTAACGTGCTGTTCACAGAACCTGATCAATCAGTCTCATGCAGCATCCTCCTCATTAGGTCTCACAACGATCTTGTCCCCTTGTAGCTCTTCCTTCACCCCGATCTCCTGGAGAATCCTCATCAGGAGGTCTGACCACAATCTTGTCCCCCTGTAGCTCCCCCTTCACCCCAAACTCCTGGAGAATCCTCATCAGGGGTCTGACCACAATCTTGTCCCCCTGTAGCTCCCCCTTCACCCCAAACTCCTGGAGAATCCTCATCAGGGGTCTGACCACAATCTTGTCCCCCTGTAGCTCCCCCTTCACCCCAAACTCCTGGAGAATCCTCATCAGGGGGTCTGACCACAATCTTGTCAACCTGTAGCTCCCCCTTCACCCCAAACTCCTGGAGAATCCTCATCAGGGGGTCTGACCACAATCTTGTCCCCCTGTAGCTCCCCCTTCACCCCAAACTCCTGGAGAATCCTCATCAGGGGGTCTGACCACAATCTTGTCCCCCTGTAGCTCCCCCTTCACCCCGATCTTCTGGAGAATCCTCATCAGGGGGTCTGACCACAATCTTGTCCCCTGTAGCTCCTCCTTCACCCGATCTCCTGGAGAATCCTCATCAGGGGGTCTGACCACAATCTTGTCCCCTGTAGCTCCCCTTCACCCCGATCTCCTGGAGAATCCTCATCAGGAGGTCTGACCACAATCTTGTCCCATGTAGCTCTGCCTTTCACCCCAAACTCCTGGAGAATCCTCATCAGGAGGTCTGACCACAATCTTGTCCCCTGTAGCTCCCCTTCACCCCGATCTCCTGGAGAATCCTCATCAGGAGGTCTGACCACAATCTTGTCCCCATGTAGCTCTGCCTTCACCCCAAACTCCTGGAGAATCCTCATCAGGGGGTCTGACCACAATCTTGTCCCCCTGTAGCTCCCCTTCACCCGATCTTCTGGAGAATCCTCATCAGGGGGGTCTGACCACAATCTTGTCCCCTGTAGCTCCCCTTCACTCCGATCTCCTGGAGAATCCTCATCAGGGGGTCTGACCACAATCTTGTCCCCCTGTAGCTCCCCCTTCACCCCGATCTCCTGGAGAATCCTCATCAGGGGGTCTGACCACAATCTTGTCCCCCTGTAGTTCCTCCTTCACCCCGATCTCCTGGAGAATCCTCATCAGGAGGTCTGACCACAATCTTGTCAACCTGTAGCTCCCCCTTCACCCCGATCTCCTGGAGAATCCTCATCAGGAGGTCTGACCACAATCTTGTCCCCTGTAGCTCCCCTTCACCCCGATCTCCTGGAGAATCCTCATCAGGAGGTCTGACCACAATCTTGTCCCCTGTAGCTCCCCCTTCACCCGATCTTCTGGAGAATCCTCATCAGGGGTCTGACCACAATCTTGTCCCCTGTAGCTCCCCTTCACCCCCAAACTCCTGGAGAATCCTCATCAGGGGGTCTGACCACAATCTTGTCCCCATGTAGCTCTGCCTTCACCCCAAACTCCTGGAGAATCCTCATCAGGGGGTCTGACCACAATCTTGTCCCCCTGTAGCTCCCCCTTCACTCCGATCTCCTGGAGAATCCTCATCAGGGGGTCTGACCACAATCTTGTCCCCCTGTAGCTCCCTTCACCCCCGATCTCCTGAGAATCCTCATCAGGGGTCTGACCACAATCTTGTCCCCTGTAGTTCCTCCTTCACCCCGGATCTCCTGGAGAATCCTCATCAGGAGGTCTGACCACAATCTTGTCAACCTGTAGCTCCCCCTTCACCCCGATCTCCTGGAGAATCCTCATCAGGAGGTCTGACCACAATCTTGTCCCCCTGTAGCTCCCCCTTCACCCCGATCTCCTGGAGAATCCTCATCAGGAGGTCTGACCACAATCTTGTCCCCTGTAGCTCCCCCTTCACCCCGATCTTCTGGAGAATCCTCATCAGGGGTCTGACCACAATCTTGTCCCCCTGTAGCTCCCCCTTCACCCCAAACTCCTGGAGAATCCTCATCAGGAGGTCTGACCACAATCTTGTCCCCATGTAGCTCTGCCTTCACCCCAAACTCCTGGAGAATCCTCATCAGGGGGTCTGACCATAATCTTGTCAACCTGTAGCTCCCCTTCACCCCCGATCTCCTGGAGAATCCTC